TTGGAAAAAAAAACCTTTTCTGAATGAAGCCTTAGTCCTGAAAAAATGAGGTTTACAGGGTTCTTTCGAAAATGGGAGTTTTTTTGAAAGAACCACGTCTAGACTGCTTTTTTTCTGAAAAAACCTTTTTCGAAAAAATTATCAAACGTGATTATGCAAATGAAGCATGAGATTTGTAAATCTGCACTTCATTTGCATTTTCGATTTCCTTCATTTACATTCCTCTTTTGACAGAGAATGTAGTCTAGATGCACTAACAGTGACAAAGAACAAAAACTATATTGTAAAGCATACCCCTAACGTGACAGAAGTAAAAGTTATACGTGCAGTTTTAATTTTGTCTTTTCTTGACTTTTTAATGCTTATTTTACAATTAGAGTGTTCTTACAGGCTAGTGTTTTGGATGAAGAAAAAACAGAATGTAAGCATAGCACTTGTATAATAATTATATTTTCAAAAGGTCTAGCTGAACAAAAACAAATAGAAAGGATTCTGTTCCTGTAAACACTGGTTTGTGACATTGATTTATATAGCAATCAGGAGAATCGGATTGATTAGTGAAACAACTTTTGAAGTTATTTTCATAATCAGCAATGAGAGGGAAATGAATACCAAAAATATATCCCAGTTCTCTGGGGTTTGCTTAAGTGTGGGAGTATATTGGTTTGACTATCTCATTTTTATAAAATTTAATTGTCAACTCTTAATAAGGGACTACTGGCTCTAGTGGTACTCTCCACTGTAACTATAGAGACTCTCTCGCAAGCCAGTAGAAACTTTTTAAGTATGATCCATTCAAGTTTTTTGTAAAGACAGATATTGCCTTTACACCTTCCCAGCTAAAGTATGCTTAAAGTTTCATCCTAACGCTTGTCACTGTTTCTATATAAATATATATTTCTGATTTGGAAAATAATGTGACGAGTTTTCAAATGCTAGCATACCCAGATTATATCCCACCTAAACCTATGGAGGAGGATTCGGGGAAAGGAAATCTTTCATATATAATGAAGTCCAAATTCATAACAAAAATAACAGGGAGGATCATTAACGTTTGGCTTTGTGTAACAATGGATGTTATCCATCATTTGTAGTGTAAGTTAAGACTAGATAACTTTCTACCAGCTCAGGCAGAAATCATAGGCCTGATGCACAAATTACTGAGGCTATGGCTGCACCACAGAGTTTCACAGTAGCACAGCTGTAGCGCTACAAATGCAGACAGTCTAAACAGATGGGCAAGAATTCTCCCATCAACTAACTTACTCCAGCCCCTGCAAGTAGCAGTAACTATGCTGGTGGGAGATATTCTCCTGCTGGCATAGCACTGTTCACTTCAATGCTGAGGTTGGTGTAATTTACATCATAGTAAGTGGTAATAGGTACCTAGCCTAAGTTAAATTCTTTGGCCGGTGTTATACAGGAATTCAGACTACATGATCACTACAGTTCCTCCTAGCTTTAAAATCTGTTACTGTATGAATAATTTCATTAGATGTCAGATTTTGCCTCCAAATTAGGCAGATCCTAAGGGACATGCACAGGTCTCAGGGGATTAACCCCCCCAATCTCCTTCATTCTTGCTGATGGCTGCCTCCATGGCCCACATCTCTTCTGAAGAAGCTCTTTAGAGCTTGACCAGCAAGCTGCATCTCCCTTGGTGTAGACCTCAAACCCACGGCCCTCTGCAAGATTCAGACAAGATTGGTGTGGGATACTGCAGAGATGACTGAGCCCCACTTCTCATGGACAAGAAGATCCAATCTCAGGCAGAGCCGGCCCAAGGTACGGGCCAACCGGGCTACTGCCGGGGCGCCCCATTGTAGGGAGCGCCATGCGGGGCTGCCAGGCCGGAAGGGGGCGGCACCGTGCATGCTCCTTGGTGGCGCCATGCATGCGCCGGGCGCAGGGCCACGCATGCGCCGTGCACCCGGGGGCGGGGCCACACATGCGCTGGGCGCCCAGGGGTGGAGCTGCGCATGCATCGCACTCCCAGGGGCGGTGCCGGGGCACACGAATGGGTCGGGCCTGCCCTGATCTCAGGGAAGCAATTTAATCCAAAATAATGCACCTTTGCTACTGCTATCAATTATGGTTTAACAAGAAGTTTTAATTTTCTATTTAGAAGTATGACAATTGAAAAATAACTACCTACAGCAGGGCTACTCAAGTTTGGAAGCCTCGGGGGACACAATGATTCTCACAGCACATGCTGAGGACCACAACTTAAGTGTGGTTGTATATACATGCAAATATATATTCAACTATATGCAAATAGCTTCTTTTACACTGACAGGCATGAAGCAAAGTTTAAGGCAAGACTACACAACACACAGGCCCCATTCTGCTGATATTAATAAAATTCAATATTTACTAGATTTCTACCCATATGACGGCACTTTTAATGAGCAATGACAGTCCAAGAATTTAACTACTAAAACACATATCAACAGAAGGCCATTCTATTGACTCGCCATTGTGGAGCATGTTCCCAGTGGAGGCCATGTTCAAAGGATCCCACTTGCGGGACGCATGTTGAGTCCCTCATAAACCCAAACTGCACCACGAACCACAGTCAAACAGGCTGTGGGCTGCATGCAGCCCATGGACCGTGTGTTGAGTAGCCCTCGCCTACAGTGTTTTGAAAATGTTTTCATATTTGCTATGAAACATAGTAATTGCTAAAACAGCTCACTGGAGGTCCTATATACTTGTAGTCTAATTACAAATAGTTTCCATCTACTGATAGAGATTATCTTGCATCTCTCACCTGAAATACAAGATACTAGGAAAAATTAAAGTGTCCTAAGCTGCCTGATCCACTGATAGTACAGGATTTATAACGTCCTCTTCTGATACTTTCCTTTCTCACTAAAATCAAGTGTTGATCCCAGTATGCACTAATAAGCATTGAGCCTGGGAAGAAACAGTGAGCCAATATCTACCTTTAATATAATGTTCCCTGTACCATCACACCTTGGCAAGTAATAAGAAGGTGAAGAGGGAAGGAGGTGTTTCCCTATTCTTAGTAGAAGCAAGCAAGAAAGAAAAACATTAGCTCGCACAAATGGGTTACCTAGGGAGGTGGTAGAATCTCCATCCCAAGACATTTTTAAGTCCAAGCCTGACAAAACCCTGGCTGGAATGATTTAGTTGGGGTTGGTCCTGTTTTTAGCAGGCGGTTGGACTTGACCTCCTGAGGTCTCTTCCAACCCTATGATTCTATGAAATGCATTGAAATAAATTTGGAAGCAACAAACAAGAAAAATCAAGTCCTCCAACAAACACAACTTCAGTATCTTTCTTAGAACTATTCAATAGTGTTTATCATATTTCCCTGCTTAATGTCCAATTGTCCATGCAATGAGACCCACTGACATCACAGACATTAATTTTTTGGAGATTCTGTACAAAAGTGCCCACATACTGAACCAGAATTCTTTTGTACAAATTAGCCCCCATCATACTGTACGTATAGTTGGGGTTATTTTTCCCGATGTGCATTACTTTACACTTATCTACATTAAATTTCATTTGCCATTTTGTTGCCCTGTCACTGAGTTTGGTGAGATCTTTTTGGAGTCCCTCACAGTCTGCTTCTGTCTTGACTATCCTAAACAGTTTGGTATCATCTGCAAACTTTACCACCTCACTGCCTACTCTTTTCTCCAGATCATTTATGAATAAATTGAAAAGGATTGGTCCCAGGACTGACCCTTGGGAGACACCACTAGTTACCCCTCTCCATTCTGAAAATTTACCATTTATTCCTAACCTTTGTTTCCTGTCTTTTAACCAGTTCTCAATCCAAGAAAGGACCTTCCCTCTTATCCCATGGCCATGTAATTTACACACGAGCCTTTGGTGAGGGACCTTGTCAAAGGCTTTCTGAAAATCTAAGCACATCCTTACAGGACTAGTGCTCTCTAGTCATTGTACCATCATGTAATCACAATAGTTGTCACAGGAAAACAACCTACTTTATCCTTTCAACATGCAAACATGAAAACCAGGAGCTGCCAAAATAATTTTCATATTCACATCTGTAAGGGCAGTTCCCCACTCCAGCACTCTGATGGCAGAAGGTGGGGGCCCACAAGAGAACTTCAAAACCTTGCCTCTACAGGCTCTGGTTACAAAAAACTTCCTCCCAGAATCATAACACACAGATTATGGGGAATCGCTGCCACCATCAAGTGCTACTTTATCTCTAAAAACCAGGGGTGAACACTTGAAACCACCCGCAGGGGTACCCCAAGTTCGTTTGCCTCAAAGAGTTGAAAAAAGAAAAGAGAAAAACAAGCTGCGGTCTCTGGTAGCTGACCCCTCAGTCTGAAACTTGCAGATATACATAGACAGACAGACCTTCCAGGACACAATAATCAAATCATCACCTTAAGAAAAGTGATTTTTATTACAAAACAAAAGATAAACTTGATAAAGCATACTTGGTTGCTAAATGCTACAGAGTATCTAAGGAAAACAAATTAAAACACAGAGAAAGTCTCTGGGCACTATGTAAGGTAGTAAATGGGGAGGGGAGGCATAGATTCACATAGAGCCTTCAAAACCAAACCACAAAATAAAGAAAAATTACCCTGAATGTGACTGGATTAATTTTTCCCTTTACATACTTCCAATTTTCTCTTTGTTTAGTCCACTCCCATGACCCAAGTTCCGTGGAGACAAAGTAGTCCTGTCTGGGTTTAAATCATTCGGTGTGTCTCAACTCCTGAATTATCTTTCCCACACAAAGAAAGCAGGCAAGGAATCTATATCCAATTCAAATTTGGTTCTCCTGGCCACCTAGCCAAGACCTTTTCTAGCTACCTGATTTTAAGCCCTTCATCACCACGTACTGGTCAGGACTCCTTCTGACCATTGTCACACTTCACAAAGTGTCATTATGGATTGTTTAAATTGTTTTTTTAACATGGTGTAGTTATATTTCTAATAGAAACTGAATAGAAAACACAAGAATTTCATAGCCTTAACTATACCTGTTGAACAGTCTGACCCTGTCCACTTAGGCTCACAGCTACAGATGCCAGTATCCACAAGGAAAGTCCCATGGCCTGAGCACTGCTCTTGACATATAGGAAGAGATGTCTCACAGTTTATGCCTCCCCATCCTGTGGAGCAGTGACATTCCCCTTGAACACAGACGCCATGGCCAGAGCATGTGGGATCTAAACAGTCCTCTGGAAAGAAAGAAATAAAATAGTTTGTGAACAACTTTGACATTTTTACATTAATTTTCCAATGTTAAGCAACTTATATGGTTGTTTTAAATATGCAATAAAATAGCTCTTGCACAAACATTTTGTTCAAGCAGAGGACTATTAACAGATGCAGAGGAAACAACATTATTCTACCGTGCTATAAAGGGCCAAATCTTGGAACCCTAACTCACATTAGCATTTGAAACTATTCACTTTAGTAGTCTTTACTCACACTCATTAGATTTGAATATGTAGGAAATTAAGAAATTTAGGTTTTCACTTCACCTTTATTTAACTCAATTAACCACATTTATCATTTAAACTACTCTGTGAATGTTACAGAACATGGTGAACAACAATGAGTATTCTATGATAATCAAGTACAACACTCTGCACATATAATCAGCTGACAGCCTTTGAACACACTTTTGTCACAGCCAGAAATATGCATAGGCATTTTTTTTCTCTCTTTAAAATAAAACTTAGAAGCCAATGTAACCTTCATGCAGCCATAGAGAACTCTAGGATCATTATGGCTCCACCTGTCATGGTCATTTTTATATGGACAATTTGTTAGAATGCAGATTGTTTGCCTTATAGACGTGATGCGCTAGCCCAGCCATGTTAGTATTTCAGTAACAGATGTGACCACAGAGTGAGGAGAGACACAATCTAGCGATCTAGAATACTGTTTAGTGTTTCTCGTTAGGTATGTTTGCACCATATTTTGTTTCTTTTATTTTACATATAGCTGTGGAAAGTGAATTTTGTCTTTGCAGCTGTTATGTCGTGGGGAGTTTCAGAGTATAGGAAGAAATCAGTGGAAAGGCAGAGAGCTGGAGTAGGTGCAAGTGTCCATTTTATTGCATAGCACAGAACTCACCAGAACAAGCCCAGACTAGCTGGGCTGACCCCAGTGACCTACTCAGTTACCATAACAACAAGATCTATATCTACAACCCAATATACAACAGCTCTGATTTGAACTGGGGAAGGGAACAGGCAGAGAACTGAGAAGCTGTAACTGCCTCCCTACCAGTTCCTTGCCTCTACTTTACCAAGCACACATTTGGTCAAGCAGTGAAACATCAACAGTGACCTATTGGAATGAAATGTTTAAATTAAGAGCAACAAACTTTTTATTGTTTACAGCAGGGGTGAGGAACCTAAGGCCCAGAGGGCTGGAAGCAGCCCCCAGCTTGCCTGGATCTGCCCTCTTGACTTGGGACGCCACTCTCCCAGCAGTGGGGAGCCCATGATGGCACTACAGCTTCTCCCCTGCCATCTCCACCGCAGGGCTGGAGCACACAAAATCTACTAGCTTGGGCTCCCCAGGGCTCTGGTGTGAGGAATGCGGAGTGCAGAAATGTGGGGGAGTGCTTTCTCCTCCTCATGTGTGGCCCCAACTGATTTTTCTGTGGGTCAGTGTCCCCCAGCCCCTAAAAAGCTCCCCACCTCTGGTTTACAATGTTGTTATAGCCTATTTTTTCCCCAGGCTATTAGAACGGTTCGAATTAGCAAAATGCTAATTCGAACTAGTTTTTAGGTCTAGATGCACTAATTTGAATTAGCTTAGTTCGAATTAACTAATTCGAATTAAGTTAGTTCGAATTAGTGCTGTAGTGTAGACATACCCTGAGAGAGGGACGGTCTTTTCTTCGTCTTTTTGGGAGATGGTGGGTGCCAAGATGTGGGCCCCGAGGGCTCCACAGAGCAGGGAGCGTTAGTACCTTGTGGCTGTAATGTCCTGTCAAAGAGGAGCATTTTGAAATGCATCTCCCTGTCCCTCCTAGCTCGCACTGTGAGTTTGGAGCAGTGGGGACATTTTTGTGGGATGTGTCCTCCAAGGCACCTTATACACAGAGTGTCCATTGGAGGCGGGCATTGCTTCACGGCAAGCGCCGCATTTTTTAATGTCGGGTGATCCGGGCATGGTCTGAGGCGGCTATACTAACTATAGTAACTATTTACAGGAATTTTTTTTAAACAGTATAACTATGGAACGAAGACTACGACTAATCTAATAACTAACGAACTAACTAACAGAATACATTCTCTCTCTCTCAATCCTGACAGGAATTTGAGGAGAAAGGGTTCACTCCATCTGCGGCAGAGGATGGTCAGGAGGAACTGGTGGGAGCCAGACCACGTGCACACAAACGGTGCGAAAAGGCACGAGACGCACTTCACGCATGCACGGTCTGGCAGACTACGGCTGAAAAAGCTCTCCAATCTGCGGCACTGCGACAAGCCTGACACCTACAGTGGAGCACCCACGGGACAATGTTCGACTAAGAAAGAAAAGTTGCAGCAGCCATGGCTGCACTTACACAGCCACTGGGACCTTCTGAGAGACTATAGAGTAGCGTTTGCCAGACCAGGGAGGTCCAACTTCTACCCAAGTCTCCTCCTGGCACCCTCCCTCCTAGCCAGATACCCTATCTCCAATCTGCTCCTGCTCCCACCTCCCGGAGTGCCCCTGCGGCGCCGGGTACCCGAAGCCCTGGCCCGGGCTGAGCGGAGGATGCAACCGGGTGAAACTGAAAATTTATTCATTTTTCATTCTTTTTTTATATGTGTTTATATATTTGGGCTGCAAAAAACAGTACTGAAAAAAACCCAGGTTCCAACTAAAGTAAAAAGTTTGGGAAACCCTGGTCTAGCCAGCTTTCTATCCATCTTACAGTCCATTTATCCAAACCATTTTCCCTTAACTTGCTGGCAAGGACATGGTGGTTACCATATCAAAAGCTTTGCTAAAGCTGGCACTGGGGGCTTTGGGAGGACCAGAAACATCTTATTTGCATATTCATCATTTGCTTAATGAATATGCAAATGAATGTTACTGGTCCTCCAAAAGCTCATGAATGGATTTACTGGTCCCCATGTCAAAAAGTTGGGGAGCCCCTGCTATACAGCAATGGCACGTATATACTGAGTATTTTGAACTTTTTGTTTTCTACGCCTGGGGCTACTGAACTGCCATCAGAGGTCGATGGTCAGTGAGAAGGTATACTTCCATCCAAACAGGTACTGGTGATATTTCTGAAGCCTGAAAACGATTCGCAATGCTTCACACTCGATTTGCGCATAGTGAGTTTCAGCCTTGCTTAAGGTGCGTGAAGCAAAAGCAATTGGTTTCTCTTCTCCTGAAGGCAAAATGTGTGACAAGACCGCTCCCACGCCATATGGGGAGGCATCACAGGCCAACTGTAAAGGTAAGGATAGATCAAAATGTGTCAGGACCTCCGAGTTTAGCAATGCACATTTCGCCTTGGTAAATGCAACATCACAGGCTTCAGTCCACTTCCAGACCTTGTTCTGGCCACGGAGCTCATGAAATGTTTTTAACAGTCTAGCTAACTGTGAAATAAACTTTCCATAATAGTTCAATAGTCCTAGAAACAAATGAAGTTTACTAACTTTTTGAGGGGGTGGAGCTTCCACAATAGCCTTAGCTTTTGAAGGGATAGGGTAGCCTTTAAATTCTTAAGGTGATCCTCCTCATCCTGCCCGTGACCAGGATGTCATCAAGATAGCACTGGACTCCTCGCAAGCCACACAAGATCTGGTCCATAGCCCTCTGGAACAAAGCTGGGGCAGAAGTTATTCTAAAGGTAAGCAACAGTACCAATAAAGCCCTTTATCCATCACAATAGTCAATAGCTCTTGGGACCTCTCATTAACGTGCATCTATAAATATGCTTGACTCAGATCAATCTTGCTGAACTTTTGTCCCCCAGCCAGGCCCGCAAAGAGGTCATCGATGTGGGGTAGGGGTTATTGCTCTGCACACAACACTGGGTTAACAGTGACCTTATAATCTCCACAAATTCAAATAGAATATTCTTTCTTCAATATTGGAACTATTGGAGTTCCCCATGGACTATGGGTAGCTGGTATTAGGACTCCATTTTTGACTAAGCGCTCCAGGCCCGCTTCAACTTTTGGCCTGATAGCATATGGCACAGGTCGGGTCTTCAGATATTTTGGTTGGCTGCCAGGTTTAATGTTCAGTTTCATGGTGATTCCCCTCATACTTCCCAGATCCTCCCCAAAACCAGCAACATGTTTCTTTAATATATCTGTCAGACTTGTTTCTTCTTTAGTCATCCGGTGCACTTCTGCCCACTCCAGTGGGATCTTTCTAAGCCATGCTCTACCCATTAAGGCTGGGTAATGGCTTTTCACTACAAACAGTGGCAATTCAGCAGTCTGTTCATTGAGCTCCACCTTAACATCAGTAGTGCCCAATAGGGGGACTGATTCTCCTGTATGTATCTTCAGAATGATCTTTGTTGCCTTAAACGGAAGATGCTTTAGCTTTTCCTTATACACACTGTAAGGGTACGTCTCGACTACATGCCTCTGGCCACAAAGGCATGTAGATTAGACTACCCGGCATAGGAAAATGAAGGATGAGGCATACCTGGGAGGTCGACAAATGCCTTTGATGTTGACCACGGAGTGTCCAGACTACCGCGCTGAGCCGACAAACAGCTAATCGGCTCAGCGCGGCAGCCAGGGAAATTTAAAAGAAGGAACAAATAATT